GAATGAAAATTACCATTATTAATTGACAATACGTCGTCGATATATCTAAATTTTGAGTTGAAGGCCAAAGCAAGTGTTTTCTTCTTTTCACGCATAAGATTTTGCACATATTTTGCTTTAAATGAATACAAAAATTGGTCTGAGACCAAATAATCATTATGTTGGACACTGTTAATTGATTTAATAAACCATTATCCCTTTAAATAAGCTTATAAATGCCGCAATTAAACACAATTTAAATTTTATATATTTATTCGACAAAAGTTGTTTATCAATTTTATTTTATAGATAAGACGTATAGATGATCCGTAACAAGAGCACAAAAAGATATAAAAAAAAAAGCCTTTAAGGTGTATAGACACAGATTTGAAGTTAATATTTTCTGCATAAGATCACGACTTTTATATTATAATAGCAGTCCACACGAAAATGTATTAAAAATCTTATTTCATCTTCAAATTATTGAAGCAAGTTTTTGGTTGTATTTGATTGACACATCCTTGCACTTTCACAGATTTAAATTTTATTCTTTAATTCTTAGGAAAAGTGGCAGTCTTGTTGTGTATTAATAAAGTATTAAAACTTTAGTGCAAAATAACAATTATATTCAGAGTAAGGAGCAGGTAAATAATTCAAAAGTGAAAAAAATTCCTACAGGATTTTCTGACTGAAAAAGAAAATCCTACAGGAATTTAAGAAATCCTATGGGATATATTTTCCTAAGGGATTTTTTCTCTCTCCTATAGGAAATTGTATTCCTACAGGAAGTTAAACTCTCCCATAGTAATTTAATTTCCTGTAGGATTTCTTAAATATCCTAAAGGCAATTAAGAAATCCTGCAGGATTTTGATAATATCCCTCAGGAATTTTATTTTTTCTATAGGAACTCTATTTTTCCCATGGGAGTTTTTTGTTCAAAGGTGATTATCTCACCTGACAGGTGTGATTTACCTGTAAGAAAGGTAGTTATGAACTCTGTGAGTGATGGTCTACCATTTGGTATACATGATCCGGCACAGTGTTAGTAGACATATTCAAAATCAAAACTCCTACATAAGTATCGTAATTCCGTGCTTAGTATTGTGTACATATACAGGGATTAACAAATTGAACACACCCGTGAAACGTACACAGTATTTTTGGTAAACAAAGTTCGAGCTTTGGTATTTCTAAGGTTTACGATTCATCGGTAGTGTTCAACTGTTAAAGTCTGCTCACCACAACTGCACGGACTCACAATATACTATGTGTATGTTTTGCTTTGGAACATTCTTCCCCGAATTTTCTGGATTTTAGTTTAAATATTTTTCATTGATACACAGCAACTTTTCCAAAGTATTAAGATTCATATTGAAATGTGTTGAGGTGCAAGGAGTGTCGATCAAACCCGTCCTAAAATTTGAAGTTTCAATACCTTTAAGATGAAATAAGATTTTTGATATATTTTCTTGTAAATTGCTTTAAATTTGCAATATATATAAGTCGTGATTTTATACAGAACATTTTAGAAAATGTGGACTTCAAATAAGTGTCTATGCAACCTTATGGGAAAAAAGAAAATTTCAACAAAACAAATACCAGGGAATTTTTTATTCTAGTTTTATTAGTGTAAAATCACATCTGTTCGTGGAGTCAAATTTTCGAGGTTTGAGGATAATATTGGTTTGGGGGAATTTGATTTCGTGGTTGGACTTTGTTTACATTTATATGGAATTGTACATTTCAAGGTCGTATTAAATTCGACGGTCTTCCCAAACCTCGGAAAAAAAAACGAAAATTAACCCCCACCAGCTCCACAGGAATTAATGATTTCACAGTTGTAATGTATTTTTTTTTTTTGGCATCATGAAAAGTGCTGCTATAATCGTAAAATCCTATTATATAAATAATTATTCTACTCTCTTTGAGTAAAACCTTGCCAACATTTTTACATTCTGTACACAAAATCGAAAAAAATGTTATCAGTTCCCGTTACATGCATATGTAACCACACAATTATAACTGCACTTTCCCAGATCTATCGATCTTTGCGATTTATGAAACTTTAACTGTCTAAACTCAGGTTTAATGTATAACTTGGGTATCTATTTAAATAATTCCATAAATAGTTTTTAAGTCATGTGTTCGGTATCTCAACCCCCGTGATAAATACATACCTGTTATTCCACATAGAAAGACAATCATATGTTTCTTTTAAGCTTTTGCATGTTTCCATTCATCTCTAGGACTTAAAAATCAATCTTTGAATATAGATTTGATTGCAAGAAAGCATTTTATCTCATACGTGTTGGTGATACAGGCCGTTGGATAAACTTTTGCTTTATCAACGGGTAGATGCTTTATCAATAGCACTTCCGGTTTTGACACGAACCCTCGCTTCAAGATTTTATTTTATTGAAACTTTTATTTGTGAACATTGTTGCCCTTATAAAATGAATGATAAAGGGTAGCAATATCGTTAAAAGCAAGATGTCAAAGAAGTGTCTTATTTTATCAAGGAACCCGTTGGCTATTTGAAGGCAGATGTTACCCCCCCCCCCCCCTCTTAGATCGTTTTCGGAAAAAGTAAAGCCTACATGTACCAGTTAAGTTGTTGTTATAAGACTCCTTTGACATCTTTAACAATGCTTTCTTATATTATACTACGTATGCCTACCTAGTAATGTAGGTGTAACTTACCATGGATCAGCAAACAATCTAGACAAAGTCTAGGCCCCTAGCCTTGCCTAGCACGATTTGTACTGCCATCGTAAAAAGAGTTGACTTTCACGATCCCCATAGTCCTAACAACTTTCAGACAGAAGTTCGTTTGATGTAAAGCTCCAGCAATTTTCACATGATGTTTTCAAAGACACAGATAGCAAATATTCTAAATTTTGAACTCGATCTACTTTCTCTCGACGCATGTAAACATCAACGGTGCTACGTCATCAAGTTATACGTCATCAATTTGATTTTGGCAGTCATTCATGTAGTTTCGCAGGGGAAGTCTCAAAGTTTTGTTAAAACGAAAGTCGTATGAGATAAATAGAACATCTATAATTGTGTGATTTGATACTGGCTTTATCCAACTCGTTGAAATGGTGTATATTCGCTCGGCAAGCCTCGCGAATATATACAACATTTCAACTCGTTGGATGAAGCCAATATCAAATCACACAATATAGATATCCTCTATATATCTAAGGTTCACGTCATACTCATAAATCACTCATATTTGTTTAGGTCAATAGACTATCTGGTTGTAGCATTGACATACTAACAACCACAACTAATTTTTTTCAGCAGAAGTTGTAGATGTTGCGTATATACGAGGACCGTTCAAAAATTACACGGACTTGTTGCACAGAAGAAATATTTGACGACATAATCGGGCAAAATTTCACAAATAATATAAAGGAATCTTTACTCATATGGTCTTCAAAATTTCATATCAAAATTTTGTAAATTGGTATTTATTTTGAGTGATTTTTCAGGACATACCATTAAGTCACGGCGCAGCAAAAATCTTTGACGTCACAAGCATTATAAAAAAAATATGTGATTGAGCTTTCATTTTCTCAACATTTTCCCTTCAGTACCTGTATAGTTTGAGTTACCTTATCTACTCAACATCAAAACACCATTTCTTGTCAAACTTAAAATCTATTAAACAAGTATAGAATATTCTTTTTTTTTGTTTTAAAACCAAAAACTACTTATGAGATATAGTGTGATATTTGTGATTCTCAATCACAACACGTTCTTTACAGTCCGGATCAAGTAAACTTTTCGTCTATAATCTTCTTCCCGTCCTCCCGTATAGTCTTTTTACAGAGGTCTAACTGTCTAAAATTTCAATTTGCTATTTGTGGGCGAATGTCACGAGTAGCCTAGTTTACTACATGTTTTATTATGCATATTTTGGATCTATGTTGCCCATATCTCGAGCATTACACATATTTTAACAAAAGTGTGGTGCGCCGTCAATTCAGGAGACGTCATTTTCACAGTCGTTTTCACGGGAATCGCATCAAAGAAAAATCACTATATTTCTGTTAGTACTTCAAATATTACGTCCGAAATCTAAATACATAATAATAGAAGAATTTAAAGGTACATTTGAGAAAATTGTTGAAAAATATCGCGAATGTTAGAAAATCAATGAGTTAAAATTTTGAATCCGCATGCTTTTGCTTCAATTTTTTTGTCGTGCGCCGTACCTCTTCATCAACGATAACAACATATCGATAATTTAAGTAGATTTTTTTTAAATGCTGAAATTTTGCCCAAATTTATTGGAATCTTTAAGATACATTTTTCTCTGAAATTTTATAACTATATGACGTCTGGAAGAGTAAATAATAGCACAGTCCGCGTAATTTTTTAACGGCCCTCGTAGTTATAAACATAGTAACAAAATTCTCCAAAATGAATAATATTAATTCCATGTTCTTTCCCCGTTGTCCTGGCAACATTATCAATACAGAATATATTTTGTTATTTTATGGACAGAAGCAAGTTTACTCTTTCAACAACATAGGTAATGAAGAAAAACCTTATCAAATGAATGCAGAAAATATATTCATAAAAATGATTAGAAATCATAGATTTTTATAAGGATTTATCAACCCGTAACTAAGGAAATAGTCTTCCTTTAATACTAGTCCCTTGATATGTTTTTGTGCTTGAGTATCAGGAAGTACAAACTTTTTTACCAAAAGTTTTATTTTTTAATTAAATTGTTGACTTTCCATAAAATGCTTGATGCTTGCTTTTTTGACTCTAGATGAATCAGTAATAGTTATCCTCGTTTTCTTTATTTTATCTGAGATAGCTATCAACTTGCCTACTGCCATGATTATATTTTCATCAAAGCCTGGTTTAAATTTAGATCTTCAACTTCAAACAGAGCAAAAAGTCCTGAATCTTTGAAAGAATAACGGACGGAAAGGTTAAACACTTTAAGGTTGGTTATTTCCAGAAGTGGAATATTTAAAAGTCTTTATTTCATTGTTCAATGTAAGACCATTATTTCTTTTTGTTTGGCATATCTTGAACAAAGACTAAAAATTTTACATGTATTATGTTTTGTATTTACATGCATAATAAATTACACGAATCAGATTTATACGGGTTTTTCGAAGTGTTCTAATGCATTCACAGATCCTTACATTTTTTGTCAAAACAATTGTTTACACTATCATTTACACATCTTTTTTGATCTTCATCATTTTGATGCCTTTTTTCCTCATAAACTACTGATATTTTAAGTTTTTTATCCATCAAACCTTTTTCTCTATATAATCCCTATCAAACAGTTATACGTCTATCTTTCAAATTCGTTTTCTTTCTCAAATATCTTGCTTCGATTTCCTTCTTCACAAGTTGGCATTTTCTCATTTGATTTTTGTCCAAATTTAACCTTTTAAAATCCTCCTCTTCCAAATCCAGAAATTGTCGTACACAGTCTATATTATTGTCTAAAAAGATTTTCGTCAGATTATCGAGATGATATTCTTTCAATTCTTTCTCGAAGGTCTTGTGATCAAATCCTAAACAGAATTAAAAAAAAGAAAGATTAGAAATACGAGTTGAACTGATTAGAAACTCCTCTTGCAAATATACTTTCTACAAACGATAGATGCTTGGATCGGAATCTATATAAACGGAGGTTGATCGGAAAGTTCATGGGCTTCTGTCATATCTTTTTAAACAAACTCATACATTGTCAAATATATTAGGACTTGACGATATAATTTTCTGTTGTACTCTTGAAAATATCAGAAAAAAATTCTAAACATGATGGGAGAAGCATGAAATATCTCAAATGTCCCAAGCGGTATTTGAATGATATACACTATGTATAAAAGGACACGGATAATCTAAAAAAAATCTAACCAAAGACGTTTGTAAGGCTTCGAAAGAGAAGGGCACATGGTTGCTGTTCTTGTGAAAGCATAGTTAAGCAGTAAAAAGAGAAAATATTGACAAACAGAAACATGTTACTGAAACAATTTTAGCAAAACAAATTTCAATTGATGGAGACATGTTTTTAATAACCATTAAATTGGTCAATCGCATAATGGTGGTTTAATGGAGGCTTAAAGAAATTTATTTCCTTAAGGTATAAGGGTGTTAAGAAAGTTCGTCCCATGATGAAATATTTACAAAAAATTCAAAATAGTGCTAAACTAAAAAGATTAATTTTCAAGTCTGACAAAATCACAAGAGTGTGCTTTACATTAAAAGCAATTGATTTTTAGCAGAAAAATATAGAATTGTTCATCCATACGAAAATATATATAACATCTTTAAAGCACCCGAATGATAGAAATGCTGGTCATTTTGAGTAAAATAAAGGCTTATTTACTTTTGTTTCTTCATAACATATCTTGCATCAGACAAGCTAATGAGGGAAGGTATAACAACAGAAGATCACTTTTCAACAGAATAGGTTTGTCATTTTGAAATTTTTCCACAGATTTGAAAATTTTTGCATAGTATTGGAAAGTATGCCCTGACCTGTGTGCCTCATATATGTCACAAATGTACGCCATCCTTGATTTTTTTCTGAGCAGGCATCATCAGTGTAAATGCCTATGCTCCCCTTATTGATTCAACAAAAGATAATTAAAACCTTATCAGCAGCAAGAATGGACTCTGTAAACATGAAATTTTACAAATTGTAAATATCTTCTCATCGTATTCTTTTCGAAAATAAAAGAAAACATGTGGAACGAACATTTTTAACACCCTTTACATTTACTCATATGAAAAAAAAATTCCACTGATAAGAATCATCTGTGTTAATACCTGTACTCCCCTTATCGATTCAACAAAAGATAATTAAAACCTTATCAGTAGCAAAAATGGACTCTGTAAACATGAACTATTACAAATTGTAAATATCTTCTCATCGTATTCTTTTCGAAAATAAAAGAAAACATGTGGAACGAACATTTTTAACACCCTTTACATTTACTCATATGAAAAAAAAATTCCACTGATAAGAACGAAAAACTACTTATTGCACATTGTACACCTATGATTCTTGTGTTAAATTTCAATTTCAAATAAATAGGTCCATGACCTACTCTTCATGCTAGTGGTTCCTGAGTTTTTCTGGGAAAATTTCTCATTTTTTGACACTATGACCAGTTTTTCCTTTACACACAGAATATTACAAGCAACAGCACTCTTTAACAAATGAAATATTATAGAAACGAACTGCGTTGCTTCATATGAATGAGTGATTAGAGTTTGTGCCATAAACTTAATTTTTTTTCTGTTCGAATTTTCTCTGCCATATTTTTTTTCTCTCCATTTTTAATCGAATATCGAAAATATCTGATTGATAAAAAAAAATTAATTGCTTAAAGCCTCAGATTTCTTTTGTTACCCGTTTTCTCATGGTATTAATATTATAGGAGGTCAATGATCAATTGCAAATTTTTTAGATATGTTGTCTTAAATGATTTTTGTAAATATTTTTGAATTTATTTATTTCATAGCATTTCATTATTTGAAATAATTTGTGAGATTTAATTCACATAATATTTGCAAAATGATGTTTCAAACTACATCTAACGTTTACACTGTGATTGATATAACAGGAAATCATTTATTTTGACAAAAATGAGAAATGAAAATTTTGTCTGAATTTTCTCTGCATCTCTCTGTTGATTTTTGTTTCTGTAGATTTTCTTCAAAAATCAGGTATCATTTGTTTTAATTGATTTTGAGTTAAAACTTGGTTATCTAATCCATTCAGAAGAATTTTTGATTTAACATATTATAGTTTATAAACTTACAGGTTTTTCTTCTGAAACCCAAGTAAACGTCATCCTTTAGCCCTCATTAAGCCACGATTAAGCTGCAGCTTATATGTGCTCAATGTCCAAAATCCATTAAGCAACCATTAAGCCACCTTCAAGCTGAGCTTAATGGTAGCTTAATGGCCAAACTTAATTAAACCACCTTTACGCATCCTATATCAAATCTTAAATCTAAATTGTTAAATTTAAAGTTGTTTCATTGTCATGTTCACAAAACTTAATCCAATTCATGATTTCGTCACGATTGCCATTTGTATATAACATTTTATCAATGTGTATAAACTCGGGTATTGAGAACAACTTCAGCAATTAGCTTGAATTTTCCACTATCCAAAATCAGTAAATACGAGGGGTGATCAAAAAGTTCGCAAACTAATTGAATAACTTTTAAAATATTTTTCAAAGTGAGATTTAAAATATTTTTCAAAGTGAGATTTTGAGTTTATTCTTCTTCAAAGTAGGCCCCAGTAGTTTTTATGCACATTTCCAATCGGTCTGCCCATGAGCGAAACACGTGATCCAAGCCATCACGTGACATGTCCCTTAGCACATGTTCACAGCAGTACCGAGATCTTCCCTTGACTTATATTTTTCTCCCCGTAGGTTATCTTTCAAAACTGGAAATAGCCAGAAGTCACAAACTGGAACATTTGGGCTGTAGGGGGAATAAATTAGGTTTTCTATACCCAGTGTTTCCATGGTGTCCATCACAACCCGACTTTTATGGCTAGGTGCGTTATCATGGTGCAGAATGAATCCAGATCTTATCAGATCTGGGCGCTTTCCCTTTACTGCTCTCATCAAATTTGATTTGATCGATTGATTGTATATTGTTTAACGTCCCTCTCGAGAATTTTTCACTCATATGGAGACGCCACCACTTGCCGGCGGAGGGCTACAAATTCTGTCCTATGCTCGGCACTAAGGGCTTTGAGCAGTGAGGGATCTTTTTCGTGCCAGCACCTACTGCGACACGGGGCCTCGGTTTATACGGTCTCATCCGAAGGACCGGTCTCCACGTCCCGCAGTGGGATTCGAACCCGCGACGTAAGGATTGACTCCTTACTTCGCAAAATCTGATTTGATAACCCGTGCATAGTAGTCCCCAGTAACTGAAGTTTTGGGTGGTACCATGTGATTTAGAATTATACCGTTGATGTCACAGAAAACTATGAGCATAACCTTCCCTGCTGACTTGGTTACGCGTGCTTTTATTGGTGAGGGCGAGATAGGATGCTTTCAAATTGAACTTTGTTGTTTACTTTCTGGCTCATAGAAATGTACCCAAGTTTCATTACATGTGATGATTCTACTCATGATATAATTTTGTTCTTTTTCATATCTACTTACGTAGGACCGGCACGCATTCACTCTCACTCCATTTGCTCTGGCATAAAGAGGCGAAGGACTCATCTCGCACAAACTCGAAGCATGTTAAGCTTACTCGTTAAAATCTCTTGAACTGTTCAATAAGACATGCTAAGATCATTACCTTTTTTCTTAATCGTAACTCTTCGATCTTTCATGACATATTGTTCAACCTCAGACACGTTTATCTCGGTACTTACGTTCAGCGGGCACCCAGATTTATCATCACCTTTCACCGTCTCCCTTCCCTCAATAAAACGTTTCATCCACTTACTTATTGTACCTTTTGAAAGCCCACATTCCCATAAACTTTATGTAAAGCATCGTATATTTCCGTGAAGGATTTACCTAGTTTTACATAAAATTTTATTATAGTTCTTTGTTCAAGTACGATTGACTCATTCATTTTCGTCACAGTCACCTCTATATTTACGTCATTTTAAAACCATGACGTCATAATTATGACGCACATTTCAACATGACTCATTGCGACAAATTTCATTCTTGTCAGAACTGTAGTTAGGTAGATAGAGAATTAGTTTGCGAACTTTTTGATCACTCCTAGCCTCGTATTCGAACAAAAAAACATTTATGTAATCATCAATGTCGTCAGAGAAATAGATAAATTAAACAATAGGGATGAGTCTTGATAATAAAATTACTTTGATATGTGTGAAAAAGACATACGTCTCAATGATGGCAGACGATAGTCGAGAGGTTTTTGAAAACTTAAAGCCGGATGAAAATTCAACAAAAACGATACTCTTAGAAACTTTATCAATTAAATGTTGGCTACAAAAAATAAAAATTAAAATCAGATACATATATTTCACTTAAAGAATATAGAACACGGACTGTGTAACGGTATTTTTTGATGCTAAAAGTAAAATTCGATGTTCTAAAAAAAGGACCAGTCGTTTTTTCCGATAGTAATTGATACGCAACTATATATATATTAAAATAGGAAAATCATATATACTCTAAGGAAGTTAATATTTGGTGTATCTCGTAATTTATAAAGGCAAAGAACATTCTAATGTATAATCTTTTTAATTTCCTCCGGATTGCAATAACAGAGCGAAGAATTCACTACATAATTAAATCAAGAAGTAGTTTTACACCAAACTCTAAACATCGACTAAACAAATACTTTACACCTGATATTGCACTTATCTTAATTTGTTAAGTAGTAGAGGAAAGATCGTCCAGAAACTTTTCGATTAGCCCTCGTGTATACTAGTATGAATATAATACAGATACAGCCCTTTCATGGGGTCAGTCCATAGATATATATTGACTTGACAATGCCTTTATCATAGGTGATATATCTATAGATTGACCGAATGAAATGGGTTTGTTTTAAGGGAGATTGACAAGCCAACAACATTTGAAAATTAAAAAAAACCAAACCCTTTCATACAGAGATTAAATTAGAGTACCATGTTTTACATTATTTTGTTACCTTTATACTGATATCTTTAATTACATTTTTATACAGTTATGAAAAAAATATATTTAATTTAATATATAAAACATAATGTAGATCAATATCCAAGGTTTTGTTGCCTCTTAACAATTTTTCCTCTTAAGAAGTATTACAGATCCTCACAAAATATTACAATATTAAAAAAATTAAAGTATCTTTTTTTTAAATATAAAATCATATTATCTAAGTTAAGTCAACAAAACTGTTTAATAGATGATTAAATATAACGTTTGTTTCTGCAATCTACAATACTATATTGCTTGGACATTGAGAAAGATTAGATTAAATGGACCCATTGTCTTTAATTTAAAGCATTACAAAAAAATAAAGTTCTAAAGAAACATTCTAAATGTAGAATTATTTACCTGCTTGACTGTTTGAGTGTAGGAATGGAGTATCTGCACCCATTTCCTGATCATAATTCTGGAATAAAAAACATTCAAAATTAAACCTAACTAATTAGATAATCAATTTATAATCGTTGCAATAATCTTTCAAGCAAAACTATCCAACCTTCTTTTTTTTTACGTTTCTAAAAAAAGTTTACTTTATTATTTTCGGGGGTGAGGGGGGGGGGGGGGGGGGGCTGATTTGTTGCCTTTGTGTTTATGCTAAATTTTACTATGGAATATTTCACTGTACTGCTCACCCAAAGGGCTAACAGTGGATGTGACAAATAAACATGGGATGCTTATTCTCTCAGACCAGGGTGGTTTTAGCCATGTTCACAAATTTGTATTTTTTTATGTTATTTGTATCAATCATTGTTCATTATTTTCGCATTTTTTATTGGCTGTATATATGAGAAACCAGTTTAGTCTTTTTGTTAAAGGTAAAAATGTTTCAAATTCACAATATGTGATCTGCCAGAGAAAATATGACTTTTTTTAAGGAAACGAAAAACACAATCATTGTTTCTTCTTTAACAGAAATGAAATTGTGTTTCTAAATCCAGAATTGCTCAAAGAAAACAAAGAAAATGTTATATTTCCTACTGGAACTAATAAAGGATATTAATAGAAAATTTCTTGAACATCGCGTATAAAAAAAATATAAATTAGTTCTGCATTTAAAATACTCAAAATTTATCATAATTATAAAAGGTAATTTAAATAAAACGTAACAAATCATTCATTTAATTATTGAGTTCTCTGGGATGTGATTAGCTTCGTCTCTGCTTTATTCGCTCATTTAATCTAATTTTGTAGTTTGTCAATCCGTTTGAGGTTCTGAGAAAAAATGCAAATGACTAAGCCTCTTCGATAAATACTGTAATAGAAACAAATGGAGATAACGAACAGTACTCATGATGATAAGTCCATAAAACATTACAAATAGGATTAAAGCACACACGGACGTCCAAAACATCAGGTGGGATCAGGTGCCATATTGGAGTTAGCATCCTCTGCCGACCGGTCACACCAGCCGTTCGTTCCCTGTCATGATCCCAAAACAAAACAGGAAAAACGCTCCTCCAAATTATCACTTTTAAGAAGATTGCTGATATATTTGTTTCACCAACTTGTTTGTAAATAAATTACCTCGGTTTTAGGAATTGTTCATGCGTAGAGCATTATCTTGCGTATCGAATTAACTGAGATATTTAAATTCTGTATGCAGGTGACGAAGGTTTTAATGCTGAAAAACATGAAAGTTAGAATGTTTTTTAAATATTTTTATCTTATGATCAGTTGCTTGAGAGACTACAGCTTGGTGTGACATCATAGATGTATATATAACCAGTTACATGATAAGCCCGGATTTAATCGCACCAACCTTCAATCGCAAGAGTTTTAAAACCAATTATGGCTGTGTCACGCAGTTTTGAGCTAAGAAAAGGTAAAAAAAAAATGTAGAAAAAATTACAGGTTTGAAAGAAGTATATGTACTCATTTCCAGCATATTTTAACGATTTTGGACGACCATTCGATGCTTAGTGCATATCAGTGACGTCATAGTTAAAAATTACGTCATTTGTGTACCTGTAGAATTTACTTCGCATCTTCCTTACTTCAATGCATAACATCAAACAATGATACAAAGATGATTAAAATATATTATTTGTGGCAAATTATTGCTAATACCCTATTTTGTTCTTTGTGTGTTGACTTCATGAAAAACTTTGAATCCTTTAACAGAGCCCTAAACACTTCGAAAGAGAACAAATTGATTATTTTCTATTTCTTAAAAAAAACTCCACAGAATATTATACCCCACTTAATCCTTTTTGTATCAGATATATAAAGATAGAGAGCATAGTCATGCAAGCTCAAATAGGCATTAAACAACACAAATCACAAGCAAAGCAAACACGGACTTCTTGACAAATGTTTTTACTTGAATAAACTTTAATTTTCAAATCAGCTATGTTTGGGAACGAAATAAAAATTGCTACCTAAATACATGTAGCTTCATAATATGCATGATTGTTAAAACAATAAATTAATTGTATACATGTACGAAATGTAATAGATAGGTATGTACCGTACCATTTCGTCGCATGAATCAGTGTTTTTCGCAGGATTGATATAAATATATAATTTGAAAGCTGAATTTAGGAAAAAGGACTAGCGCAAGGGTATTTTCATGTTTTCGGAAAAAGAAAAATATTCTTATGAAGAAAGATTTACATCTGATCAGCAATCCGAAGAATATAGGTAGCTAGATTGTGCTTTTTGGAAAGTACTTGTATTATTGTCCGAATTGCCTACAGTATGTCGCATAAATTCTTCTATAAATAAAATAAATGTTATGCAGACGAGGATAAGCTTCAAATATTTTTTTTTTAATGTTCAGGTTATCAGCAATTTATATCGCATATTTTATATCATACAAAGTAGACCATGCCCTCTCACTTTGAGGAAAACGTTTAGTCATGTTGACGATATTCTTTACATTTTCTGTCGCTGCAAAACCCTATTGCTACTGTATAAATTAGATCTCGTATAACTTTTTTAGATTATTTGTTTCCTTTCAGTTTAAATTCCTAAATTTAAAAATCGGCGATGTTTTCATATTTATTAAAGCATGTTCGGAATAATTTTAACAGTAAACCAGATCCTCTGGAATACTTGTACTACGTCAAGACAAGAAAAGTTCCATTATTTAGGACAATATGATTTTAATTGGATTTGACTACATAATAGAATCAGCAGAAGAACACATATTTTATCTTATAATTTGTATAAAATAATTTAAATGTGCATTATTAACGAAGAAGGTATGGTTTCCATAAAAATTTTGCCCTGTGATTTTCTAAAAAATGAAGCTGGTGTAAAAGTTGAAAAGTCAAGATTTTTAAATAATTGAAATTCAATGCAGAAAAATCATACAAGTCATTTTTCTCACATGTGTTTTTAAATGCTAATTATGACGTCATAAACATGTGCATTTTCCCGTATTTTCTTAAAAAGTTGCAGAAGACACCAATTTTCAATGGAATTTTCATTCAGATAACATTGTCCACAGGCATCGCCCACAAAGATCTTGAGATATGTGATTTGTTACTGAATTTTGCATAAAATATAAAAAAAATAACGTGGGCGACGGCTGTGGACACTGTTTTCTAAAGGAAAATCACCCTTGAAATGTTCCATTTTGAGGCTTTTTCTGTTGAAAATAGAGAAATGCGTCACATTAATGACCTCATATTTGCAGAATGGTAAACCTTCATGCCATATTCTTTCCTGATTTATCGGAGTCATTTATTTAACAAAATATTTAAGCCAGTGTCAAAACTTTTTGATGTCATAACATTTTGAGGGCAAAATAAAGCTAAAACCATACCTTCTTCTTTCGTAATTAACTGTATAAGTGTTATGTGTTTACAAATCTATAGCTTACTTCTGAGTCAACAGTATTAATGACCAAGAATATATGATATATCTAATATCAACGACTATTGTGTCAAAGAACACCTTTAAATCCACAGTAACTTAAAAAAGAAAGTCGGGACAAGATAGTTCTGTTATATGTAAGCGAAACAAAATTCAAAGAGCATTAAAAACTTACACCCCTGTTTCTTTGCTGTAAGCATTCTGAGGAAAAAATGAAAATCATGTAAAAACATTCCCTTTTCCTAAAAATGTATATTAATGATTTTTTTCAGTAAATGTTCTTATAAATTGGATTCTAATATACAAAAAAGCTGCAGTAACCTTATAATTACTTACTTTCTAATATCCTCTTTCTCCATATTATCCCAATGACAATTGTAAAGACAAGAAACAGAAGAAAACATATTAGAATAATCACGGTGCTTTGATCATGACCTGGATTACAAACCCTAAAAGAAAACATTATTTACGCCATGAAAGAATCACTTTAGTAGAATATTCTTTAAGCCATACTTCTTAAGATTTTCTTTATTATTCAACTGCATTTTATTTGTAAATTTACACTTTTTCTTGTAAACTTAAAGTTCATATTTCACTTTTATAATCATTTATTTGTATAGGTTTTATACAAACATACTAATTATCTGACATTATCTGTTTCAGATGAAAAAATATATATTTCACTGACCATGAAGTCCCTACATGCCCTCTAGGTGGTGATTGTGGAGAGGTTAAATCACTCTTTTCCACATTCCGCAGAAGCTGTTGACAATAGGCATCTATAAATATACATGGTTTGTTGCAACCACTATTGAAATACGACCACTATTGAAACAAGAGGCCCAGGGGCCACAGCGCTCACCTGAGCACATCGGGCTTGAATTTACTCCCCCCCCCCCTCCAGGCAATCATCATTTGAACAAACTAGAATCTACACTACCTGAGGATGATTCCATATAAATATCACTAATCATAACTTTGAAGTACTTGAAAAGATTTTAAAGGTTTCCTTATGTATCCCTATGTAAAAATTGGGTCGGCCATTTTGGCCCCACCCTAGCCTCGGGGGTAATGATTTGAACAAACTTGAATCTACACTACCTGAGGATGATTCCACATGAGTTTCATCTTTCCTGGCCCAGTGATTCTGGAGAAGAAGATTTTTAAAGATTTTTCCTATATATTCCTATGTTAAACTTGGGTCGGCCATTTTGGCACCACCCTTGCCCGGGGGGTCATGATTTGAACAAACTTGAATCTACACTACCTGAGGATGATTCCACATGAGTTTCATCTTTCCTGGCCCAGTGGTTCTGGAGAAGAAGATTTTTAAAGATTTTTCTTATATATTCCTATGTAAAACTTGGGTCGGCCATTTTGGCCCCACCCTTGCCCCAGGGGTCATGATTTGAATAAACTTGAATCTACACTACCTGAGGATGATTCCACATGAGTTTCACATTTCCTGGCCCAGTGGTTCTGGAGAAGAAGATTTTTAAAGATTTTTCCTATATATTCCTATGTAAAATTTGGGTCGGCCATTTTGGCCCAACCCTTGCCCGGGGGGTCATGATTTGAACAAACTTGAATCTACACTACCTGAGGATAATTCCATATGAGTTTCATCTTTCCTGGCCCAGTGGTTCTGGAGAAGAAGATTTTTATAGATTTTTCCAATGTATTCCTATGTAAAACTTGGGTCGGCCATTTTGGCCCCACCCTTGCCCCAGGGGTCATGATTTGAACAAACTTGAACAACACTACCTTAGGATGATTCCACATGAGTTTCATATTTCCTGGCCCAGCGGTTCTGGAGAAGAAGATTTTTTAAAAATGCCATTAATTTTTAACAAATTCATGATTATCTCCCCTTGGAAAAGGGCGTGGCCCTTTATTTGAACAAATTTAAATCCCCTTCACCCAAGGATACTTTGTGCCAAGTTTGGTTGAAATTGGCCCAGTGGTTCTTGAGAAGAAGATGAAAATGTGAAAAGTTTACGACGACGACGACAACGACGATGACAACGACAACGACAGACGACGGACAAATTTTGATCAGAAAAGCTCACTTGAGCCTTCGGCTCAGGTGAGCTAATAATTATATCAATAGTGGTTGAGAGTGCATTTCAATAGCAAACATTGTTAGTAACCACTATTGAAATACGACCACTATTGAAATAATTATATCAATAGTAGTTGAGAGTGCATTTCAATTGCAAACATAGTTAGTAACCACTATTGAAATACGACCACTATTGAAATAATTATATCAATAGTGGTTAGTAGTGCATTTCAATTGCAAACACAGTTAGTAACCACTATTGAAATACGACCACTATTGAAATAATTATATCAATAGTGGTTGTGAATTTCAATAGTGGTTACTAACAAAGTTTGCTATTGAAATGCGATCCCAACCACTACTGATATAATTATTTCAATAAGTGGTCGTATTTCAATAGTGGTTATTACCTATCTTTGTTATTGAAATGCACGCTCAACTACTATTGATATAATTATTTCAATAGTGGTTGTATTTCAATACTGGTTACTAACAATGTTTCTATTGAAATGCACTCTCAACCACTATTGATGTAATTATTTCAATAGTGGTCTATATTTCAATAGCGGTTACAACAATGGTTATTTTTATCTTATTGTGTTAGGTCTGTACGATACTTAGAGGATATTCAATATTTTGTAATAGAACATGGATTTCAACAGCCTCGTAATTGGAAAAAAAAAGTTTTGCAATTTTAGACACTGCCAAGATGATTAACGTACCCTCTCTTTATCTTAAATTAGGTCACAGGGTATTTTTACAACACTCCTGATTAAGGGAAGGGAAAGCGAGAATTTTGCCTAACTTTTGGTTTTCTTTTACAATGTGAGAGAATCTCACTTTGATTCAATGAAAATATAATAGTTATTAACAGTTCAAAAGTAAGAAAATAAGATAATTTCTTATCATGATCTTTTGATTTCCATTTCGTCTGTCACTTTCTCCGTTCAATCATTTAGAAATAAAGATAACCAGAATAACTATTGTTTTGTGATAATGTGTACAGTTAACATTAGACAATTTTCTTATGTGGAGCAGATCAAAATAGGACCTCCAAACCATCAGAGTTGAGATCAGGTGGCGTGGAGGAGTGAACATTCCCTGCCGTACGGCAACACCAATCGTGCCCCCCCCCTGACGAGATCGGGAAACCGAACATGCCGACATGGCCACAGCACCGACCATATAATCCACAAAACGACGACCACAAACGAGTCTGTCGATACACCTGTTTTGTCAAACCTTCTGACAATAATTTAATTCGCTTTTGAAACCGTTCATACGTAGAGCATGCTCTTTAGCATCGAATCAACTGAGATACACAAAACCAGGCCAGTGCACAGACAATGAAGGCAAACTAATGCACAAGTGAGGAGAGTTGAAGACTGCAAAGATAAAGTCATCGCGTTTACCACAGAGCTTGGTTGTAGGATTATCATTTACGTCTTTTTCAAATAAAATATTTAATTATGAAACAGATATGCGTCAGGTTCTATGGTATCTTTTATCTCAAGCTCACCGGGGAGTATCGTATTGACATAAGAATATAAATTACCATTTTTAATTGACAATGTGTCGATATACTAAGTATTTAAATGTCCAGTTGAAGGCCACAGCGTTTTCATCTTTTCCCGCATAAGATTTTGAACCCATTTTGCTCCATATGAACAAATAAATAGGTCCGCCAATAAAGGGGGCAATCGGTACCCATGGGAATTCCAATAGATTGTTGGAGGTTCCGGTCTCCAAAAACCATAAAGACACTGTCAATTAGAAACACAAGCATTTTTATGTCGTCTTCAGAGTTCTTGTATGTACAATCAGAATGTTGTGAACGGAATAATTTATATTTACGAGTCCCATTTTTATTGAAAAAGCAGCTGTCAATGATATCAAAAAGCTTGTGTTTTAATATGTTGTGGAGAAAGATTTTGTATAAAGTTGAAAGTCTTAAATTTTTAAGTTGTCGGTTTTGGTCAAATTTTGTCATCTCAAATTGTTCAAAAAATCTTTAAGAATTCACTTTTGATTTACCCCGCTTCTTGAATATAATGTTACACGGTTCTTTTTAGGTTTCTCCTTCACTACTTTAAATATCTTAGCGAAGAGTTAACAAATAGGTTTTGTTGAGTATTCACTTGAACCCGCTGTGTATTTTTGTTTGTAGGGATTCTTATGAAGTATCAGAATCCAATATAGATATGGTAGTTCAACTTCATTTTGCTTCTTTTAGATCTTGAAAATATTCAAAATTGAATAGAGACCTATATGTTCGATTTAGATCACCACCCGTAAAACCACATCCAAATTCTTCTAAAATACATTTTATATATTTCAAATACACAATGGAAAACAACAGCTTTTATACAAGCATTTTAATTTATCTGAATATTATATTTTGGCAATGAAAGTTAGAATAAAAAAAAATTACCACCATACTGATAATCCTTAACTTAGTAAACCTTTCCGTAGACAACAAAAAAATTTTGATTAGAAAACTTGGAACAGCCTTTTCCTATTGATGAAAGGACAATGTCAATAGTGTTGAAAATCGTTCCAGTCCACAGTGTAACAATAAAAATGTGATGGTACGTTTTAACCATACACATGTAATTGTAGTCATGGGCATCGGTCTTATTGAAAATTATCGATTCTGTAGAACATTACGGAAATGGGCCAGTTGTGAGAAGGGGAGAATTGATACTTTGTCAGAGTGGGATGGTTTTGTCAGATCTGTATCAAAGTCGCGTGTTAAAAGATTATGAGGCAATATGTGAGCCATCTATCCTTCTAAGCAGACCAAAGGTGAAAAAAATTGGTTTGCATGGTCAGTACTAGCTGGTCTCTGCTGATAAAACATTTTCTGCGTTTGTAAGGCTTATCAATACATGACCTGATAATATTTTAGTTAGCAATTTCTTGGTTTCACCAACATAAACAAGTCCACACAGATTACATTCTCTGACATTTTACAGTTTCTCGCAGAACTTTTTGGAATAGAACACATGGGATCCAAAAAGGAATCCTAAAATGTACCTGTAATAAAAACTAAACATTCTTTCAATTTTTTGTATAAAGTATCGTAACAACTTGGAATCTGAAGGCTCTACATACGACATATGTTTGATATCTCTGAGGATAATCTGAGGGTTACCAAGAAGTATATTGAGATAGCGAACAGTCTTCAATCTCAAAGTCCATAAAACAATACAAAATAGGAGTAGAGCAAACACGGACCCCCGAAACATCAGAGGTGGGATCAGGGGTCATGGAGGAGTGAGCATCCCCTGCCGACAGGTCACACCCGCCATGTGCTCCTTGTCATGATCAGGAAATAACGATAACAATTGGTATGAAAACGTCAGTCAGCATTTGACTTAATGATAAAGTGTATTTGTTGACAAGGTCATTGTAACGACCATAGAACTTTAATCGAGACTGCTGATATCAAATAAATCCTTGAATCTATGTCCCTTATAGACTTAAAGGTGTGACGCTTTTTTTTATACTGGGAGCTTGTCTGCCAGTTTCGTGTCGTTTTTCTGTGTACTCATGAATGAATAGAATATTCAGTTTGCTTTATACGTGTGCATGAACAGTGCATAGATATACGGTAGCCATATTAAAACCTGTAGAATATATTTCAGATTTTTTTTTTTTTTTTTTTTTTACAAATCTTTGTCTTAATTCAGCGCATTTCTATCTTGCGACATTATT